TGGCCCTAGAATTATTGCTCTCACTCCGGCGTGCGCGGCGATACCCAACATGTGTAGCGCGTTCATCGTTTTCATGCGTAGGCGCACCCGACGCGTGTTTACGTGGCGATGCGCGTGCTCGCGGGGGACTTTTACATTTTTTTTATTATTAGATTTATTTTATTTCATTTTAATTTTAAAAACTGTTTGTTTTTTTTTTAACTTTACTTTGACTGCTATCACACCATCTGCCACGTAATAGCAGATGGTGGTGACAGGTACTCTTTAAGGTGATGCTGGGGATCCAAAAGACCCCCAGTGTCACCTTTACACTAGAAATGAGCTATTGAAGTGCATATCGCACTTCAATAGCTTAGACCTGGGCTGCAGGAGCCCAGAACTGACAGCCCAGGGACCGGAAGTGATGCAATCTGCATCGCTCCCGGTCCCATAGAACGGGGAGGGGGATCGATGAACGGAAGTTCGTCGACCTCCTCCCCAGCTCCCCGCGGCTCTACAAGTTTAAACAGAGTCCCGGCGGCAAAAGTCGCCGGGAGTCTGTTTAAACAGCCCCGATGCTGGCGACGTACACTGTACGTCGTCAGTCACGAAGGGGTTAAGCAAAAAACTGGCCATGTCAATTCCTGAGGCTGATGCATCTGTTGTGTCAACAGCCCCCTGTGACAGAATTAAGTACAGCCTACATTTACCCAATATGAGGCACTTTCTCACTGGCCTGAATGCTGTAGACCAGGAGGCGGCAACCTTGGCACTCCAGCTGTTGTGGAACCACAAGTCCCATGAGGCATTGCAAGATTGACAGCCAACAATAATTACTTGCAGAGGCATGATTGAATTTGTAGTTTTGCCACAGCTGGAGGGCAGAGGTTGGCTATCCTTGCTGTACACTCTTAAAAGTCTAGTGAGGAAGCAGCAACAGTGATGTTTTGCTTTCAGAAGGTGTAGTAGACAAATGGTGAATATTGTTATAGTCAAAATCATTGATATGTTTATCCCCTGGGGGTTAGCACTGCAGATTGTGCTCACAGAATCTCCTTTATGATACAAGACTACCATCCCTGAGCCATCCAGACTAGCCCCTTTCCAGATAGACAATTGAAACACAAAAGGTCTTGACTGATTTTACTGTGTTTTTCAGGTCTGTGGACTTCTTGCTGGATTCCAGTCTCCGTAAGGTGTATAACACTCAGTCAGAAAAGACAGATGACTCCCGCACTACTTGACTTATTCTACAGAGGGCAGCACTGTCCTACCTTCTATACTCTACAGCAGTGCTCCCCAACCTTATCGCCGCGGACCGGTCAACGTTTGATAATTTTACCGTGGCCCGCTGAGGGGGGGACGTTGATTGTTTATATTTTAGATTGTTTTGATTTAATAATTTTAATTTAATTGTATTTAAAAATGCCTTCAAAATAAAATAGTTACACCAAAAAATGAGTTGGAATGCTTCACCTATTCCACCACCGAAAAACTGGGCGAGATTACGTTAAAATGTGTGACCACGTCACTGGTCACACATTCTAACGTAGTCTCAAACTTTGATAGATCACATGCCTACCTGTAATCATTTAAATCAGAGAAATAGATAATAGGGAACATTAGTGTAATATTCCCCATTATAATCCACGTCTAATGACATGATGTAAGACACGCCCCCCTTCCCCCGCTCAGACTCACCCTTCCAGGAGCAGCAGCCATGTGTCGGTGTGCACTCACTGCAGGGGGCAGGCGTGTGACACGTCTGTGACTCCCCTCCCGCCGCCTGTTACTATAGACGCGGCCGGGAGGGGAGGCGAGTCACAGGACCCCGCCCCCTCACTGTGAAGCCCGTCGGCTGTTCGAACACCGGGACCGTGCACTGCCATATATTGCATGACCGGACCGCACTGAGACATTGCGGCCCGGTACCATTTGATCCGCGGACCGGTGGTTGGGGAACACTGCTCTACAGCAAGCATTGCTGTTAATTTTAATTGTTCCTGCACATAAGACTGGATTTATTAAAAAACCCACACCAAAAAGGAGAGAGATTGTCAAGATGCATATCTGCTAAAATTACTGCAATATCAAAGTGTCCTCTCCTAGTATGGAAGCAGCACAACACAAATTGAAGATGAAAGCCACTAATCTGAGAGATATTTGAAGTGTCCACTGCAATAAAAAGGACAACATGTAAATCTACTACTGAGAGTTGATGTTGTCAGTGTTGCATGTTAGTGCTTACCCACAGCTTTGCTTTAAACCGAGTTCCCTGCTGTGTTTGAGACACTAACTTGAATAGTTATGTAATGTCTTAGGTAGCAGTTCAAAACCGTTTGGAAGCAGGCTATAACAAATGCCCATGATGGTATAGCAGGAAGTTTCATACAGAGGACGTCCGTATTATCTAGCTTTATGGATCTCTGACATGGCACACTGTAGCCTCACTACCTCTCCCAAAACACATTTCACCCCATGCAGCATTAATCAGATTGGGCCAGGAAGAAAAAGGCTTAGTTCTTAGCCTTAAAGAAATACACACCAGCGAAAAGTCCGAGCAGTAAGGTTATGTGACCTGATCACCACAAGATAGTGATCCAGACATATCCCAAGACCAGTTCATCATAAAATTAAAACATGACAGGGTAAAGAACCCTCATAAAACCCTGAACTATTGTTGAAGCCCCTCAACAGAAGTACAAAAGTTGTCATATCATATGTTTAACAGTTGCTGATTTATTTTATTCAGTTTTGCGATTTTTCCCATACTGGGTACGTGGTCTGTCATTTCACATGGGTCTTATCCTCAACAGTACATTGGTGGAACAAACATTTCAGGGACATGCATTTTAAAGTAGCAGGGCTGCAGTGTTGCAAGTCAGTGTTTTAACTGGATGATACTGACATCAATGAGGTGCAACTTTCTGCCAAGTTGTGGAGCGTGGCTGGGCTCTTGTTGTCAGCACCCAGATCTGGAGGCCTGGGATTGGTGAGCTTGGAGTGGTAAGGTTTCTTACCCAAACTAAGTGGAGTGAGTTTTTTTTTAAAATGAGCTGCCATGACCACAAATGCATGCAAGACACTTTTTATTGCAGTGCATCACATGGCATGTGCACTAGAGTGTGGATGCTTTACCCGCTACTGGAACATGCACATGTTACAGTGCCTTGTAGCAAGGCCATGCATCACCAACACAAGACGCAAGTCATGACAAGTTGTGTCAGACAACTTAGTGCTCAATTAGCTCTTTGTGACAAACTATGGCCTAAACATAACCACTCTAATTATATTCAGTTATAGTTTAGTTTCTCTAAAACCCTTTTGCTGCCAATGACATGTTAAATCATGGCTTTGGAATAGGTAGATCTCTTGGCTGCAGTAGTAGTAGCTTTTGGGTTGTAATGTAGAACGATAAGGCAGCTATAAAGCCACCCAATCACTTCTGCAGGCTCTAGAAGCACTAGTTATCCCTTCTGATGCCCAATCTGCACCCTAGCGTGGACATTGTGCGCTAGGAACTGTATCACAGGTGAGTGACACCAGGTGTGGATACCATAGCTTTACAGTTCAACAAATTGGACAGGTTTGTCTCCAGGATCAGCTGGCTGAGGAATTGGATGCAATAGCTGATTAAAAATTGTGCCAAAGCTGGCTTTTCTCAAGGTGGAGGACATTACTTGGTCCTCAAAACCTTTGAGTGGCCCATGGGAATGTGGTTCACACTGACTTGGTAAGGTTACTTGTAGACAGTGAGCTCTCCCAACCCATGCTAATCTGCTGTCTCAAGGACTGACCTGCCTCAGTCACTGGCTTTAACAGCATGGCTGTTCGAACTTTGGATCCCAAGAGACTACAGCATTATCAAATCCGTTATCTCTACGATGCATAAAGTGCACAAGGTATACCATCAGGCTTGGAGGAAGTATGTTGTGTTGCAACTCAACCCAGGAGTTTTGTGATGACTACAATCTCAATACAAATTAGTAAGACAAACATGAGATTGTAGTCCATCACAGGAGTGAGCTTGGAGCAGTGCCTACTTTACAACACGGGGAACAAAAATGGCCACCCTCCAGAAGGAGGAGTCAGCAAATTCAGAGATATGAGGTGCTACAGCTAAGTGATGCACAAATAACCTACATTTTTGATAATGTGGTACTTTAATGCCTTTGTAAGGTTTAACACCTGAGTTTAGGGTCACTTCAGGGACCAGTGGACAAGAGGTTAGATGCCTCTTCAAAGTGCCCCCCTGTTCCACTGACTGTCCCCCAATGCAATATGCTGCCTCTCTATTGTAGAGAATCTGGCTTCTTTGGACATAAGGACTTGCACACCCATTTTTTGTCCTCATTAACACCTACATTTTGCTGTGGCCAGAGAACATTACCAATGTGTTACTCTTCCCTTTGGTCTAGCCACTCTTCACAATGTGCTCCCATCAGTCCTAGCTCTACGTTGCTCAGTGAAGGCATGTAGTGGGATACCTGGATGATCTGTTAGGGACCAGACCCTGACAGCTAGTGTCCAAATTGACAGTTCAGACTATGCAGCGATTCGGATGGATCCTTATTCAGTGCTGGATCCAGGTTATCACATAGTGTACCTGGACCTAGTACTGGATACAGCCCTGTCCAGAATACTCCTGTCCCTCCGCTCACATGCTCAGACCCTTTGTTCCAAGGGGTCCCTTAATTTGTTCTTGCACAAGGGTATCCTCCAAGGCAGTACCATAGAGTTTCACCCAGGAGTAAGATCAGAAAAGCCCAGCACCTGTCAGGAGGTAAACTCAGGCAAAAAAAAAAATAAGTTTACTTAACAAGTAACTTGACATTAATGGGCCACAATCTTGGCCTTTTAAGCATCCTTTGGGGACTTAAACCATTTTCCTTGTAAAAACCACACATTCACTGCTTTTAGAAGATCCTAAATAATGAGCACCAACCCTCAAAAAACAGAATTATGCAATACCATACACAACCCGAGAGGCAGTATAGAAAGTCTTTATTTAAAAAGAGACTTTAGTGCTCATTGGTTACAAGGCTGCGCTCTTCAATCTCTTTACGTTTTTGCTTTGATCGGCCATACAGTATAACACCAATGCACAGCAGCAACAGAACAGCCAGCTCCAGTAAAAGTGCCCCAACAGCAGGTGGCATAAGGAAGCCTGTAACGGAGAGAACAGCACAAAATTAGGTTTCTCACAGAAAAAAAAAGTCAAAATATGCAATTTAGAAAAGGCCAAACCTCTTTCCAGCACTATAGCTTTACACTTGTGCGAGCCAGAAGAGGTATTGCTAGTCTTTAAATTACAGGATTTTGGAACCTTAACCCTTGCAGTGCACACACTTTAGTGAAAGAGTAGGGGTATAAGTATCCTTTACTCATTCAAGATGGGGGTAGTCATCTGGGTGCCCCTTTAAAGGGTAACCCTAATGCAAATAAGCCCCCCTGCCTGCAGACCCCCCACAACCATTGGGTCAGGGCGTTGGGGAGAGGCACATGACCTGGTATGGTGCAGGGAGCCATTTCCCTTCTGCAAAAAACAAACAAACAAAAACACTACACCCCAACCACGCACCACAAGATTCAACCATTTGTTTTGGGCTGATTGTTAGGAATTACCTGTCTCTGCTGCTCTGGATTCGTTGCCATTAGTAGATGGGCTATGTACTTTGAAGGGTCCTAGAACCATTGTATGAACAAGTCCATCTTCATTTTCTTTACAAAAAAAAAGTGTAACATTCATAAATACAATAAAATTAGGGATTATTTTCTTTAGACAAGACCAACTCTCCACTTACCATTAACATTTCTTTTCTTCCTGGAACTTCTAGAACAGACATTATCGCAGCAAGTGCATACAGTATTGTCTGCACTACCAAGTAGTTCCCACCTATGGATAGAATTTAACTGTCAATTGTAGCCCCAAAAAATCAGCCCTCAAGACTAAGTAGAACTAGAGAACTATGAGGCGAGTGCTTTTCACTCATCCTCAGTTCTAGCCGACCTGTGACAATGAAACGGTCACAGGTCGGCTTAGTAGAGCGGAAAGAGCGAACACATACCGGCTTTCGCTCACTTCTCGATCCTGTCACAGCTCTCTGCCGTGACAGGGGATGGACTGGATTCCCCCCTCCCCGATCCACTAGCACTGACTAGCGGAACGGACGGGGAGGGGGTACAGCTGGCTCTGCCTCTAGATAGGCAGAGCCAGCTGTCACTCACGCAGCTGGGCAGATAGACATAATTGTCGGGATTTGCTTCAGCGTCTCAGTATACCACGAGCTGTAGCTTAGGGTGACGGGAGGACACTAATTTGTGTCCTCCCGTTATCCTAAGGAGAACTATGGGGAAAAGCCCTAACCCCATAGTTCTCCTTGAAGCAAAAAAAAAAAAAACTTTAAATTTTGATAGTACAATGAGGGTTAGAACTGCATCAGGTTTTTGTCCCGATTACCAATGCCATGGGAAATGGAGGTAAAAGCCACAATGGAGTTGCAAATTAATCTTTTAGTGGGACACTGTGGCAATTGTCCAGAGGGGATTTTTCAAAGAGCTAAAATCCCACCTATGAAGTCTCCCCAACAAGAAGGAAAAAAAAAGTTTTGGCTTAAGCTATATTAAGAAACTTTTCCCAAGTTCCCATCAATTTAGGCTTTCTGGACAACATACAGATTATAGAAGTTTTGGCAACTAACCCAACTGAATTCTTAAAAAAATAAAAGGGCTTACTTTGCAAAGTGCACTTACCTTACCACACACTGCAAAGCAATCTGAATAGAGTGCAGCATAATCTGGTTTTCTATAATACATTTACATTTCCATAGGCATTTTAAGAGTCTAGAATTTTAGACACCAGTTTATGGTTTGTACCCAATACAAACCTGTATTTTGCCACTTCCTCCCACATGACAGGTACTTGGATGCTTAGGCACCCAGCTTCTACATGTGTAGTAGGAGGGGACCTCAGCCCTGTGTAAGGCTTACACCCTTACTCTTAAATTGGGGTGTGCAGGGTCACAATTTGTGTAACCATGTGGACACACTGGCCCTCCACATACGGTGTTGGAATCATGGTGCAAGCAGAGGATGGAGAGTTGGTTCTCACTGCATGTGGGGCTCCTTTACGGAGCAGTCGTGTGTAAAGCAGCAATCTCTGTACACACTGTTCCCTGCAAGTTCAGCTCCCACCCCCTGTGTAGCACCCAAGCTTTCTACACCGTTCCTCCCTCCCCCTACTTATAAGGCCCCTGCTTGAAATAGTTCCCACCCCACCTTTTATGAGGATTTTTCTTGTAATCCAAGACGCAAAACAAAAATTCTTAGCATTCTCCTACCTGTTTGTGTCCAGTAAATAAGAACATGCCTTCCTGAGCTCTGTTACATCTTTGGGATCCCAGACAACCAGCTTAAAGGTAAGGTAGATCTGCAGGACAAAAATAGTTGGAGGGGGGGTGGCGACAGTATTTTTTGCTAATAAGTTATATAGGTGGATAATAGATTTACAAGTAGCAAATGTGGCATATAGTACCCACATGTTGCATTAGGTACATTTTAATAGAGTTGCATGTTACCAAATACTTGCCTCATTACCAAGTGTCACAAATTTCATGGCTGGAAAGGTGAGCCATATGGTATTTATTGGATCCTGCTTTACAAACCTAGAGTGCGCCACTTTTCCATCTACAAAACATCTACAGGAAATAAAGGTCAGACATTAGCCCCTGTGCAGCTTTGTATCAGCCACTGCGGTTTACACATGTCGTCATGAGTTAAATCAGCAATTTTGACAATGTAACAAGACATATTTCACACCTTTACAAATAAACTTACATTTGAGTTTATAGAACAGTATTCTACTTAAAGTAGAGCTCCAGACAACTTTTTTAATGGAGGAATATAACATCTGTTTAGTTTGCCATCATTACCATTGGGAAGATTTGCCACAGCCTCCTGTCCAGAAGTCACTCATACAAGAATGTTTAGAAGGGTAGTATTGATGCAAGTTAAACTGGATTTTTGCACTTTCCATAAATGTGTTAATTGAGACATTGGGCAAGTTATTTTGAATGGAGAAAATTTATATATATATATTGCCCAAGAAACTTGTTCTGCACGAGCACCAGCCAAGGCATTGGCCTATACACATACAGCAATGAAGTAATTAAATGAACTAGGATCACACTAATCCAGCACGTTATTATTCTGAGTTGCCCCACTCAAGCGGCAGCCATATTAAGTGGGGCACGTGAGATTAATAACGTGCTGGATTAGTGTGATCCTAGTTCATTTTATCACTTCATTGCTGTGCTGTATGTGTATAGGCCAATGTAGTTGGATCTGTATGTGCGTTTGATTAATCGAAAAAAATGTAAATCGATTAATTCTAAACACACAAAATTATATATATATTATATATATCTCAATAAAAAACCCCAACACACTGGGGACAAAGGCAATTTTTTATCAAAGCAGTAGCAATAGCCCGCCGCCCCCCCCCCTTGTAGTCAGGCAAGAATGGAGAGGCTAAAAGATTGAACACAAATTTTAAGAGTATACATAGCAGGTCAATGTCATAGTCTTATTTAGGAAAGAGACAACTCAGCCTAGCCAAGCAAGCATTTAGATGCACAAAAACAGTTACCCATGGTTGTTGATCAGATCATATCTTGGTGTTAAAGCGATATCTGTAGTTGGAGTCACTATTCCTTCATCCACAAGGAGTCTCAGAGGAATGTGATATCCTAAATTCACAGACAGTTCCAAGTTGATGGGGGATCCCAATAAAAAGTCTTTTGCATCTGAAGGACCTGAGAAGTCATCTGATGGGAGAAAATTTAAAGACATAGTAATGTGTAAGAGGATCATTAAAGATTGATGAAAAAGTGGAACTGCACCAGTTTTGTTTTGGAATATTTGAAGTGCAGAGGAGTGAACAGTGAAGACAACGATTTGTGACCCCCTTCTAGGAGGTTGCCTCACCTCCTGTCACTGACTACAACATGTGTGCAGCATAATTTCTTTCCCGAGTGGGGGGGTGGGAACACACACACACACACACACTACCATTAGCTTAGTTTGACGAAAAACAATTTATGCTGTCATGACATCACATGATGCTGCGTGCAATGGTGTGACTTCATATGCATGTATGGACGCTGCCATCTTTGTGTATATACCAATATTGTGGCACCCATACATGAGTGTGATGTTGCACATGCAGTGTCATGCGCTCTGCCTCCAAGGATGTCAGCATGCATTGGCAGAACACACCAGTGGCCTTTATGGCCACCCGACGTTCTGCAAATGCATTTGCCTGTATTTTTAGTGTATACAGGCATATCATTTTTAGATTCAGACGAAACGCCGGAGCAATGGAATTTCGTTGATTTGTAAGTTAGTCCTAGACATGTGCATTTGGATTCAGACTAACCATCATTGGGATAAAGATCAGGGAAACATGTTCACTGAAACATTACAGGGGATATTTGCAATTAAATCCTAGGAGGATCAGTTGAAACAGTTACCCATTTTGGAAGCAGACCAATCCAAGCAACAACCATCTCATGCTGGTTTAAGGGTATTGCTTCATGCCATGATAGACTTCTTCCTCAAATTTAAAACAGATCCGAGTTCAGGGCATCAAACCATCAACATAATTTGCACAATAAATCTGTCCACGTTAGTCACTTAAAGCGTGTCATGTTAAGAGAATTATGAGGCGAGTGATTTTTCACTCGGCCTCATAATCTGAGCCGACCAGCGACAATGAAACTGTCACAGGTCGGCTCAGTAGAGCGAGAAATGAGCAAACACATACCGTCACTCGCTCACTTCTCGATCTATCTCTGCAGAGAGCCGTGACTGTCACTCACGGCTTCCTGGGCTGTTTGTGGAAACGCATGGTGGCAGCTACTGTTGCATAGCTATAGAGTTAACCAACCCGAGTGGCAATTGCTCTTAGTCTGCTGGCCTGAGATTGTTGTATCCTGTTTTATAGCCACGTCCTTGTGATGGCTCGGTCAGTTCGGAAATGTGTATACTAGTGTTTTAGACCGGCACATCTGTCACAGCATGTGCTCCCCAGCCCCAAGTACTGGCATTTGTTGGGAGCTTTACAGGATGTGACAGTTTAAGGCCCAGACAATAAATACTTTTCCTTGTTGCACTCCTTACCGAGAAATCCCTTGTAGTGGGGGGGTGCTCGCAGTGACTGCGGATGGCGCCACAAATAAAACAGCAATTGTTTAGAGATGTCACCAGCACACCAGACAGAAAATGGTTCTTAGGGAGTGGTAAATTCCTTTATGGGGCCAATTTAGGACCATTCTTCCTCTTTAATTAGAAGCATTTTCTGGGATACAGAATCTGGTAACCCAGCAAAGTCCTTTGTTGAGCAGGAATTAATCCTTCCTCCCCAGTAGATACTCGCCATTATGAATTTTATGACGAGCTAAAAAATTTTAAATTACAATCATGTGGCATTTCCTGCATGGCTTCCATACTACCAAGATGTGGGCAGCAAAAAAACCCAAGCCTACAAGTTGGCAGCTACACAGATGGCTGCCATGGACAACATATTTACATGCCAGCTGCAAGACAGGTTTCTTCCCATCCATTGGCTCCTTGATGGATCAAGTCAAATGATAGATCTACATTCTTCAAAAACATGCAACGGCACATTTAAAGAATTTCTCTGCCTCTTTGAAAATAGTCTTATCCATCCAGGTTCTGAATCAGAACTGGGGACAGGTCAGACAACTGACAAAAGTAAAACATTGCAGTATTTGAGTACCAGGCCTGGGCCGCCATGCAGCTTTAGTACAACCCCCCCCGCCCTTCAAAATGCTAGTGCCAAACTGTAACCCTAAAGCAGACACCCAAGTAGACAAGACTCACCACTGCTACAGGAACCATAGCCTTCTACTCCTTGGAGACAAAGGATGTTGTCCACACCCTTCTCAAACAGGATCTCAAACTAAGGACTGCAGCAAGGAGGTAGGTGGGGGGAAGGTGGCATCCCCACAACAAGGGGGGGGGGTTGGACAAGAACCTACCAAAGGATGGGGCACCTGGGGAAAACACAGGTACATGCCAGGGCATATCCCAGGGTGACCCATGGACCCAGCCACTGGCCCTTCAATAAAATCATCAAACAAGATGTAAACCTGCAAGTAGGATATGCAACAGAACTTCGGGACAAGTGGGTAGGGGCATTTAAGTTACCGTAAAATGTAATATTCATATTACAACAATGGCAGAATGATAAACTTTTATGAAAGGGCATATAGAAATGCAAGTAGGTGATGCGACTTTAGATTGCCTTTATCACCACAGCCCCAACAACTGTTCCATGAAATCCTTGCCTTTTGCTTCATGAAATCCTTGCCTTTTGCTTCAAGATATCACAGTAATCACTTCCATTTTTCTGTAGTCAATTTAGGCAAATAGAATCTGAATGTCTTCTAGCTGAACTTTTACATAGCACCACTAAATAAGCCCAGCTTGGGTGTATGTTCCAGGTCCCTGCTACAAAGTGTTTTGCACTGTACATAGTTGAAATTTAAAAAAACATTTCCCAGCTAGGAGAATAGTTAGGGGTGGGGCATTCCATCTAAAATTGGTGTAGTTCTACTGGAGGCTTATAATTTTGTGTACAATTTAAAGTGCTGTATATACACAAGAATTTCCATCATAGGGACAGAATTACAGCCAAGAATGATTGTTCACTAGTAAACATTGTATGCATTTGTTTAGCTAGCTAAAAATTAAGCTGGTCAAAAAAGCTTGACAAGTCAGATTTCAAAAGCAAAACTGTGATCGGTGGAAACATGGTCAGCTGAACAGTGATTGCATGCAATCAAGTGCAGTCACAGGTGCTGTGGCTTGCCATACATGTGTATGGAGGAATCTCCGACTATTCGGACAAACTAGTCCATGCAGTCTATTTAAAAAGGGCAATGCCACCTTTTCACAAAATGTGAGAAACATACATTGCCCAAGATAGTTCACATCCCCTGGTGGGGAGCACAGCTGCGATTTCCAGGGGTGGGATTTGCAGATTGAGTTGCAAAGCATACATATGAACGGGTTGACTCGTTTGTATGCAATTACAGCAGCTCATTTATATGCAGATTCCACAGCCGAAAACCTGCGAGCTGTGGGAACACAGGGCTGGGCTGAGGTAGTGACCGCACAGCAGCTTAGCCAGTTATGAATTCAGGCCACAGCTTGGATGCAAACTTGAGGGACAGGAGTAAGAGTGCGATTGTCCAGACAAGATCAGGGAAGTTGGCAGCTATTAGGGCCCTGTGATGTCTGTTTAAGTACCTATGGGTTACTGATCTAGAACAAGCATGCAAATAAGCCAGAATTCTTATCTTTGTAATTTCAGGGTCTGTGGCTCAAACTGAAGCATGGCAACCAGACAAAATCGCTAACTTTCTGCCCATGAACAATGACTTTAATATTTGTCATTTGCTGGACAGTTATTTGTATTGTTAAAATTTTAATCTCTGCAGCTTACATACTAGCCTATCACTTATATCAAAATCCAGAACATTAATGCAACAGTTGAGCAGAATTTTTGTATGTGTACCTGACAGGTTATATGGGGTGCTAAACAAGTTAGGATTCTATGATGTACTGACCATTGACATTTTATTCCATGGTCCATTTACTCAATATACACAAAACTTGCATGTAATCAAGGCCACAAAGGATAGATACTGACATACCGGTGTCTTTACTCACCATTCATGAAGCGAAAGCTGAAATTAAGGTTACCCATTCCAGATGCTGTTAGAAACACTGTAGATGTCATGTCTATAGGAGTTGGATTCATAGACCTGAAAGGAACAGA